TAATGATACTTTCGGTCGGGGGGGAGATTTCCAGGTCTTTCTTCTGAGGCACCTCTGGGTGAACTTGAACTGCCAACTTCTCCGTTAGTAAGCAAGCTTGTGAACTGAATGAGGACGCCTGCCACGATCAGCAGTCGGTATTTGCTGAGTGCGAACAGCACTGAGCTGCGTTCCTAAAGACACGCAGTTTGAATCCACGAGCTGCTGCGCAGGAGGAGGGTGGACTCGTTTCTGATGACTCCAGGCCACACGAGACTCCGTGGGACAAAGCTGGGCCTCGGAAACCCCACGAGGGTCGCCCGGAGTCAGAAATGGCGTCGTAGGAGTGGATTTGAGGGTTTTTACAGTGGAAAGGGTCTCAAGGAGCCGCAAGGTGTGGTCTTGGTCCTGCCCGCACACATGCTTTCAGCCGTTCCCACAGAAGGCAGGGGCTGGGCTCTGGTGTTGGGGAGCAGAAGGCAGGGGCTTGAGTAGGTGAGGAACTTAGCAAACACTCCTCCTTGGGCCCGATGTCCACGCCGCTGCAGGCGATGGTCAGTATGCACTTCAGCTCTGTAGGTGGGGAGCGAGGGGCACCCGCAGGTCTGTCGGGCCATCCGTCCCTGGACAGGGAGACCCCCCTTCCTCCCTGCTGCACACTCAGGTCGGAGGCAAGGAGACCGGCTAGAGACAGGTCTCCAGCCCTCTGCTCTCTGGCCCGCTGCCCACGTCCTCCAATTCCCACTAGACCTGTCCGACTAGAAAGACTGTAAAGGGGGAAAGAAATCATCCTCAGTCAGGAGAGCTGGCAAAGGAGAGCAGTTCAGAGGGCTGATCTCATAAAGGCCAAGCAAAGGCATAAAAACATGTGGCAAACCGTGGTCCAGGAGGAGCGCTTGAAGGCTCTCATCAACACTGAGCTCGATTTATGCTGTGTTCCTGTCTGCAGCCTTGACTCGGGGTTGCTGGGGTCACGTGGCGTACATTCGGGGCCTGCCTGTGGCCCCCCCAGTTTAACACTTGCCCTGCGCGAGCTCCTTTCTGGAAATGTCAAGCGTGTCATCCGTCAGAATGGTTTGGAGGGCCAGGCCCCAGAGCCGGCTCTGGCTTCCTGTAAAAAGCACTGTCTTTGCCACGAGTGCGGAAGCTTCTCCTCGGTGCTTTGAGGGACGGCGTGAATATTCGTTGGAGGGAAAAAGGCTCATGGCGCACTGTTGGGTCGTCTCCGCCGTGAAGGACCGTCAGCATGAAGTATCAGTTAGCTGGCTGTCAGCAGCTGGGGATGCGTTCTGATCAGCTGCTTCCCCTGCAGCTTGTCTTTTGTCCCCAGGACCCTGCTGGGTGGAGGACAGAGGTCCCTCTGTCTAGTGATGGTGGCTGGCATCCACCAGCATGTGCAGACCGTGGTATTTGGACGGGTTGGTCTGGCATGAGTTTGATCCCCTGCCCGTCCACGCATATCATCATCACCGCCTGTGTCTTCCCTCTGCTTCTCCCGTACAGATCCGGAGTTGGGCGTGGGCACGCTCCCCGAACATGACAGCCAGGATGCCGGGCCCATTGTCCCCAAGATCTCGGGTCTAGAGCGTAGCCAGGAGAGGAGCCAGGACTGTGGCAAAGAGGCCCTCTTGGAGCCTGTGGTGCTGAAAGACCCGTGTCCTCAGGTCCCCCCGCCACCGCCCCCGGCGCCTGCAGAGCCCCAGCCACGAGCTCCTTCTCCGGGCCCCGAGCTGGTGCGGCGCCCCGAGCTCCCTGCCCAGCCTCCGCCTCCAAGCACACAGCCGCCACCGGCGCCCCCCGAGGCCCAGCTGCAGCCTGCCCCCCAGCCACAGGCCCAGAGGCCACCGCGGCCACAGTCCCCCGGCCAGCTGCTCCACCAGGGCCTGCCACCCGCGCAGGCCCACCCATCGGCGCAGGGCCTCGGCCAGCCGCTGTCCGCCTACAACAGCAGCGTGAGCCTCAACAGTCTCAGGTGAGTGGGGCTTCTCCTCGGCTCACTGTCCTCCTGGGACACGCAGCCGCGGGCCCGGGATGGGAGGGGGGGGCTGTTTTCTCACGGAGCCTGAGAAGTGGTCAGGCATGTGGAGCGTAGGCTTCGGGGAGGCCAGGTGGAGGGTAGTGAGGCTGTTGTTATGAGGAAGACAGTGTTTGAAAGGACCCTGTGGGACAAGAAGCAGCTTCGGGACCCGAGATTAGAGGACACTGTCCACCAGGGAGGCAGGGATTCACACCGGACTCGAGGCCACGGAACAACGATGCTAAGTACATTCCTTAGGGAGGAAGGAGGCTCTGACTTGGCCTCGCTGGGACGGGGCTGTGATACGAAGTCCTGCAGGAAGGTTGCATCTTGCCACCGGTCCCCAGTATGTGAAGCTTGGGTCCCACCAGATGTGGAGGTTCCCCCAGATGTGGAGGTTCCCCCAGATGTGGAGGTTCCCCCAGATGTGGAGGTGTGTCATGGAGTCTTCCCAGGGCAGTGGGTGGGAGGAGAGCAAGCTGCCTGAGAGCAGAGGAGCCTCCGACGAGGGCCTGGGCTCTGGTCAGATGCAGAGGGAAACTGCAGCGATGGGGGTGAACCTGGTATGGGGTACAGGGCAGCAGGGTTCACGTCACCTTGCTTTCCCTGTGGAGACCTGATGAGGTCAGTGCTTCAGAGCCAGGCTCCTTCCTGAGTGTGACAGCAGAACGGCACCCAGGAAGGCGACCCCTTCCACCATTGCCATGGCCTCCAGAGAACCCAGGCGTCGTCCTTACCTCGACTTTCCTTGTTTGTGTTTTGGGGTACACTTGTACTAGGCAATGGAGGGGTTGTCCCTTGTTTGTCCGTAAGGGTTATCTGCTGTGTGGGAAGTATGACCAGAGAGAAGGGCTGGGACTTTGCAGGGACCGGGGTGGCAGCATGAACACAGAGGCAGTCGGCCACCCCCACACTGCCACGTCACGCAGCTCTGGAGCAGTGGCTTCGAGCTGGGGGAGGAGACTGTGCCGTGACTGAGAGGCTCTCGAAGTGTAGAAGTGAGGGACTGCTAAGCTAAAGGTCGCTGGTTTGAGTTCACCTGCCGCCCCGTGAGAGGAGGAGGGCCAGTTTACTCCTGTTAGCTTTACAGCCTCAGAAACCCAGGAGTCAGAGGTCAGACATCTTGACATCAGGGAGACTTTCTGTGCTGGAAATGGAAATGTTTACAAAGTCGTGAAGTTAGAAGACTATAATTTCCAGAGAAAGTGTGTGTGTGCAAGCGAGAATCAACAGTCAGCGAAGAGAGAAAGCGGTTCTGGGGTATAAATAGGATCTCCTTTTGTGAAAGATGACTTACATTTCCTTTCTTTTTATTCCCACAGCAGCAGCAGAAGCAGCACCCCAGCAAAGACTCAGCCCGCCCCTCCTCACATCTCCCACCACCCCTCTGCCTCCCCGTTCCCCCTCTCACTGCCTAACCACAGTCCCCTGCATAGCTTCACACCCACCCTCCAGCCCCCCGCACACCCACATCACCCCAATATGTTTGCCCCTCCCACGGCTCTGCCGCCCCCACCACCTCTAACATCGGGAAGTCTGCAGGTCCCTGGACACCCGGCCGGGAGCACCTACTCAGGTGGGCTGACTCCCCGTGCCTTCCTCGTGCCCCACGGCTCTTCCCCATTGCCCATCAGGACAGCCCCACTGTGCCCAGCTGGCTAGGTCACAGACTGTCCTGTGTTACGATACGCGTCCTTGTCACCTTTCTCAACCTCTCTGGTCTGAAGTCCAGCAAACGACCTTTATGCCCAGCACACCCACACTGGGGCGGATGCCGCCCAGAGAAATGACTTTGTTCCAGTCTCCGGGCTTTTCCAACCCTGTTCCCCCACTGGGTGGGAAAAAGCAAACCACTCATGTCCACTTAACCCCGGGTCTTCAATGATGGACCTGGCTTAAGGGATGACTTAGTAGAACATACACCTATTGGGACAGTTTATCCCACAATGTCAGAGACAGGGACCTGATGTTGTGTCTGGTCCATGTCTCCGGCTCATGTGTCACACTACATTAAGGTCCAGCTGAACTGCAGTCCAGCCCTGACCGAGAGCTGTGACCCCCCTTCCAGAGGCCATGAGGGCCACTCATGGGAGTGGGCACTTCACTGTGGTAATTCTGTAATCCGGGCAGCAAACCCACAGCACAGGCAGTATTGCTGTCTCCGTCCTAGATGTAAAAACGGAGACCCCAGTGGGCGACTGTCGTTCCCAGGGTCATCCACCACAGAGACAGAGGGTCGAGGTAACCTGGAGCCGTTTGGCGTGGACGTCTGACTCTGTCTAGAGATACTAGAGCAGGCTGATTAGATTATGGCCACAGTTCCCGGTCTGCACCCTCAGCTGCACCCCTGACCCGCGCCCTCCACACTAAGGCCTTCAGATCTGCACTGGACGGAGGGACCATTTGCTGTGAGAAAGTGTCCTCACCTCCTGTTACTTTCTTTCCAGAGCAAGACATCTTGCGCCAAGAGTTGAACACACGCTTCTTGGCCTCCCAGAGTGCTGACCGCGGGGCCTCGCTGGGCCCCCCGCCCTACCTGCGGACGGAGTTTCACCAGCACCAACACCAACACCAGCACACGCACCAGCACACGCACCAGCACACCTTCACGCCATTCCCGCACGCCATCCCGCCTACCGCCATCATGCCCACGCCAGCACCTCCCATGGTGCGTACCCCGAGCAGAAATGTGAGGATAAGTAGAGCCCCACTCTTTTCCCGCAGCACGGTGGGGTCGGCAGGGGCTGTCGGGATGGTAGGAGGTCGAGGGGCGTCGGAGCCGCCTGGGAGGCTCTCGGGCCCTGGCCATCTTTGCTGGAGAGCAAGGAAGACGTCTTGTGCCTTCAGCACCAGCCCTGGGCCAGGAGTAGGAATGTTTCCCAGACAGTGAAACCCTGCCCAGGGTACTAAGTACATGCAAAGAAATCCTTAGAAATAGTGGGGCGGTGAGACAGCTGGGAAGGTGAGGCCAGTCAGAAGATGGGCTGTGGTGGGTGACTCCCGCTCATTCAGGTGGTTCACTTGAAGCTTCTCATGCTGGAGGTGCCCTGTTCCTCCTTCTGTAAGACAGTCTCCTCATGTGGTGGATGCACCTTGGAGGCTCAGAGCTCTTCCTGTGGTGACCACATGGACCAGCACGTACCTACCATGAGACGCAGCTGTCTTCTTTCTATAACGGGAGGCCAGTGAATAATGGGGGGGGGGGGTATCTCCACCCCCCAGACCCACCGTCATTGACTCAGTTCCAACTCATAACCACCCTGTAGGCCGAGCAGAGCCCCCCGGGGGTTTCCAGGGCCACAGACCTGGGAAGAGGCGTCTCACCTTTCTCCCGAGGAGTGGCTGGCCTGCTGCTGTCGTGGATTCCAACCCCTAGCACTCCACTGGGTTTCTGAGACTCTACGTGTTTATAGGATGAGACTTCTCCTCTTTCTGTCATGGAACAGCTGGGGATTTGAACCCTGACCTCTAAGTTAGCCACACACCTGGTGACTTCTACCACCAGAGCTCCTTGAGGAGGGGCTGATGGTTCAAACCACTGACCTTTAGGTTAGCAGCCAGATGCCTTAACCACAGCACCATAGGAGCTTCTTTACTGCTACGTTAGAATTCTGTAGCTTTTGAAAAAGAGTTCCAGGAGTTAGTGTGATTTTTAAGACAATAATGTCAGTGTTATGAGACTTGGTTTTTATCAAACTTAGCATCTTCTCTCTCTCTCCATCCAGATTTGTTCGGTATTTTTTAACAAAGAAAATAGATTTTATAAGTTTACTTTACATGATTTATTGTGAAAAGAATCCTAGACAAGAGACCTTGGGGCCCCCCAGAAAAGTGTCCTATGTCAGAGTTCTGTGTGGTTTCACATACAGGAAATGTTCACAATTAAACTTCACAAGTGGACCAAACCTGACTGTAGATAGTTGCACGATCAGGGTGAAGAGACTATTTAGAGAAATAACCTGTCTCATCTGTTTTCTGTTCAAAAAGGAAGGTTGTAAGACCATGCCAGAGTCACTTTGTTACCTGGATATGAAACATTACAGAAGACAGTTAAAAAAGCTGTGCTTCTGCCAAACTGAGCACACACGCATGCATGCACGTGCACACACACACACAACACACACACGAGAGGGGATTCTCTGAATCAGTCACCTCTCTCTGGTTTGGCTGGATAATTGCCTCTCCTCTGCAATTTCGATGTTTGGCATTTGTTAACACAGTGTAGGAAAAAAGGCCGAGCAGGATGGCCAGGCCTCCAGGGTGTGCCATGTGCGTTCTACTTGTTGCTGTTGATTTTTCACTGGAGCTTAGATGGCTTCCCGTACAGAGAGGTTGGTTAACTCTGCTGGCAGCTGGCTAACAGAGGCTTGTCTGGGACTGCCTCCTCGGAAGCAGTGAAGAGAAATGCAGACTCTTGAGTAACTAGCTTTTGCTTTGATCCCTTTACAGTTTGACAAATACCCTACAAAAGTTGACCCCTTCTACCGGCACAGTGTGAGTTGTCCTCCCTGCTACCGCTCACTGTCACTGCTGTCTCATCTTTGTGCTCTTGCCAGAGATCTGTCCATCACCAGCAGCCTGCCTTCCTCATCTTGGCAAGAGCCCTCATCACTTGGGATGCTTGCTTTCGTGGCGTTTTGCTTTGGGGTAAAGATGCAGCAGCATCTTCTGAATCAAAAGATCCCCACTCCTCCTCAGACTTTTCCGCCGAGGTGCTCAGGCACTGGGCCTCCCAAGTGGGGCTCCTGCAGATGCTCTGATGAATTTCAGGAGAACCTGCACTGGCTGGATGGTTGCCATCCCTCTGCCGTGGGAACAGAATCCTGGGATTCATTCCCAAGTGTGAACCTTCAGCTAGAAGGGCCTTCAGTCCTTTTGACTCATAATTCTTCAAAACACAAATTTGTGTCTCAGAAGGGGGAAAGCCCCCTTTTGCGAAGCTGATACCTGGGATCTTTCTCCTGAGCTTGTTATAATTGACAAGGAAAATAGCATTTAAATTTTAAAAGTTTTAAAAATCAAATGAGTGATCTTTCTATCACTTAAACTTACTCTTCAGCAGAAAATGTCTTATTTTGCAATTGAAAACACACTAGTGTATGATCTTAGGCAATTTTAAGAGTACGTTTGGGGATGTAAATTGTTAGCACCCAAAGTTTATGCTCAGTTAGTTACAACACAAGAATTTACTTTTTATGCAAAGTCCTTAAACATCTGATGGCGATCTTTTGATTATGGGGCAAATTCTGCATCATCTTTACCTTAAATTTTGCAAGTTTCTTTGCATAATGGTTCATCTGTCTTCCCCCCCCCCCCAATTAAACCAGGGAAAGGAAGATGAATAGTTTCTTGTAGCCACACTCACCCATCCTCCTCAACCCTCCTTGTTTGGATTTGCAGATAATGTTATCATTTGAGTAGAAATGGTACCGAATAACAGATCTGCAAGATATGTGCATTCATTCTTTTGTATTTTGATCTAGATTATTTGACACTATTAGTCATGGTGCAACTGAGAGTTAAAAGGTGCTAGAAAGAAATTCAGAATGACTTACTCTAGAAGCATTCAGAAACACGTGGGGGAAACTGGCTCAGAAGGGAATTAGAAAAATGTATTTGAATGAACCTTTCCAATCCCCCAATTTGTCCCAGGCTCATTTCTACTCAAGACAGGAGAATTATGGGAGGTTTTTTTTATATTGTTTGTTTGTTTTTTATGGGAGGTTTTTTTAATGGACACACAGAATCCAACAGAACTGTGGGTTTCTTCTTTGGGTTTGCCCGATGAGTGCCTCTACCTTTCACAACCATCACATTTCTAGGCTTCATCTGAATCTAGCTGACACATTAAGGAGCAGTTAACAGTAGTTCTTAGAGACAGTTTAACAGGACCATCAGGTAGCTCAGGAAGACTTCCTGGGCCCAGGGGCTGAGCTGACCTCACAGAGACCTAGGTTTAAGACAGAGACTAAGAGTGGAGGCCTGAGAATTTAAATCTTGGGTGCTTCAGGTTTTCAGACGAGGTGGAAACGGCTAACAGAGCCCGTCAGAGGATAACGTGGGCGATGGCAGCATTCACTGTTTTACCTGAAAACAATGAAGGAAATACACTCACCTGGAGGCACAGCCATAGAAATCTGACTGTGCTTTAGTGTGAAGTGTATTTAATTACTGCACTGTCTACAATGTACTGGGGGAGAGTCGTTTCGTAGTATTAGTTATAGCGGAGAATAACCAAGAACTTCATCTCCCCGCTTTGGGGATTAGGACGTTATAAGGGGAATTAAGATGCAATGCACTCAAGTATCTTAAAACACAATTTTGGACTTAAAAGTAGTTTTAAATGAGGGCACTTGGCTTGCAATCACTGTTTAAGTGGATTTAGTTCAATATCAATTAGTCTGAAAAACATTGCGGCATCATTGAAGGGAGGAAAAAAGAAATAGAGACCAAATAGGTGCTCTGAAAACAGGGTTGTGAAGCCGTGTAGTTAAGCCATCGCCTAGCTTACAGAGCTAACGTGCAGGAGTAAGGAAGGCTTCCATTATGGCTGTATTTTTAACACCTCATGTAACCGTAGGTGTGGGCCCAGGAGAGGCAATTTCTTACCTAGATGCATAGTGGTCTGAACAGAGTAAGTGCAACAGGACCAATAGGACTAGAGAAATACTGTCTTTAGAAGAAAGGAGAGATGTGTTGGCACTGTTTTCAGTCTTCTGTGTATTTCTTTCCTCCACTGTGTCTTCTCCAAGCTACCCTTTCAAGAACCTTCATCTGTTTTATTCAGAATCATTCTTCCCCTGCATTTAATTATTAGACGCCCCCAGGCCAAGCCCTGCAGACTGAGTCTGGACTGGCCATGAACCCCATTCGCAACATGTCATGTAGATGTACCCTGAGAGCCATAACGTAACCGGGGACAGCAGGCAGAACTTGAAACTAGAGAGCGTCATTCCAGACACGGTTAGTCCTATGCGCCCCCCACCCCCCCAAGCAGAGCGGGCCCCTCCATTTAAGACGCCTACGGAGTCGTTTTTCTTCGCCCCTCTGCCACTACTGTGTCACCGTTTTAGGCAAGAGAATCAAAGTGTCCCTTAGAATGGCCACTTCTGGACTAACCTCATGAAGCCAGGATCGTGATATCTTCTCATTCCCTCCACAAACTATTAAAATCTGAAAGTCCTAATTGAGTTTTAATGGTAGAAAATCCTGGAACTCATAAAGACTTACTGCCTCTTTTTTTTCTTGCTTGCTCTTTTTTTTTTCTTCTTCTTTTTTTTTTCTAATTAACTTGTAATTTCCTTAGCATCTCCTGGACTCAGCACTCCTCCTGTTTTTGATATGCATTAAAATCTCTAACCATGTAGGACTTCTATCCAATTTAACAATTAATAATTAGAAAAGGCTCCCATCCGACCCATGTCCTCATCAGGGACGTCATTTGTTGGCTGATTGATTCTGAACTACTTTTAACTCGTTCAGTTAAACATTCATCGTGCATCTGTGTGAGCATTTCATCCTGGCTTCTCTGACTAATAGCATCAAACCCAGATTACTTGCCTTGCTAATGTTGATGTCTTTCAACGGGAAGGGAATTGGAAAGTATCATTTGCCTCCGACTAAAACCTATTTTCCCTGTTCGTCTTTGGCCGCAGCTCTTCCATTCCTACCCTCCTGCAGTCTCGGGCATCCCCCCCATGATTCCGCCCACTGGCCCCTTCGGTTCCCTCCAAGGAGCATTCCAGCCGAAGGTAAGACCCCCCGAGTGAGCACACACGGCCTGTTCGCAAGTGAACGCTCGGCCTGGGAGTTCAGGGTGCATCATTCCCGTCCCAACTTCTTCTGACCCCAAGTGACCAGCTGGATCGGAGGGAGAATATTTTATTCTAAACCAGACGCACCAGCGTTATTCAAATTAGAACAGTCATGTAATCTCAGCTGAGTGAAGAGTCTTCTACGCTTGTGAAAATGTGTAGAATGTATGTTCTTTTTCATCCTTTCAAATTTTGTGGCAGATGCCACAAAAAAATCAGGAATTTTGTGAACTGTCTTACACATGTGCACCAGGTAATCCTTGATGGCAGGTGTAGATCTGAATAGGTGTGGAAGTCCCCACACTAAAACTGGACCCTTGTGAGTTGTCCAAGGGGAGCTCTGGTGTCTTAGCCCTTAGGGAATTGCACTGCTGTCGTAAAGGCTGCATAGAGCTCTCTGGTGGTTCAAATCCTCCATTGGCTCCAGGAGATTCGGGCGGGCAAATCTCCCCACGTGAGCCTTCGAAACCCTGCGGGGGGGGTGGGGGGGTGGTTAGCTCGGACTTGGTTCTGACTCGGCAGCGAGGGTGAGGGACTTTGTGAAGGGAAGATTCTTGCACTCTGTCCTCATCAGTCCCCAAGCCCATGACCACCGGGGTGATTCAGACTTACCTCCCTCAGGTTTCGGGGACTGTGGATTTTCACAGGAGCAAACTGCCTCATCTTCCTCTCCCCGAGGTGCACCTAGTGAATTCAGAACCGACACAGACACACTGCGCCCCCAGAGCTCTCTTCCTCAGCCCCAGCCGTGTGCCCAGGGGGGCAGCCCCACGTTTTGTGTACCCACATCTTCCAGTGGTCACACTTGCCCAAGTTCTCATTAGTTACTTACGTGTTCGTGTGAAAGTCATCCGTGACAAGTCGCAGCCCACTCATAGCTGAACCTCCAGCACGTTTCACAGACTCTGTGTTGCACACGAGGAAGCTGCCTGGCCTCCTCACTTACTTACTGCTGGCCTGTGATGGGTGAGTGAGTTTGGACTGGAGTTGGCTCTGCAGGTCAGGGAAGAAGAATATTCTCAGGCACTATGCTTGTACGCCTTTAAGTAGAGAATCCTATACGTTTTCATTAACCACCACCACCCACCAGCCTTCCCCAAAACGACACGTGCTTCTCTTGTTGGTAACCATCTAAACCTTTCCTTGAGTTAGTGCTGACTCCTGGTGACCCTCCAGCAAGCTTCCAACGCAGTAAATATCAGCAGAAGGAGACAGCCTCCTTTTTCTCCACGGAGAAGCTGATAGGTTCAAACTGCCAACCTTTCAGTTAGCCACCAACCACTCACCACCAGGGAGGCTAACGGGCTCGGTGGTAGAACACTTGTCTTCCGTGTGGGAGACCTGGTTCCCTTCCCACTGAGGGACTTTATGTCCAGGTAGCACCTGTCAGCGGAGGTTTGTGTGTGTTTACGATGCTCGGATGGGTTTCAGGAGCATTTCTAAACTGAGAGTGACTCAGCCCTGTGGATCGCTCCGACCTCACTGTCCACTGTCCAGGGCTGAAGCCAGGGCAGCTAGCAACAACGTGATCTGTATTCTAAGGAATTTCCAGCTTGGGTGCTTTCTATTTTCATTTTGTTCCAGTCTCATCTTTAAGGCAAAACACCAGACTTGGGCCAGAATCTCCCTAGATGAACATTTACCACAGTTCTACAGGCATAATGGCCTAAAATGAGAAACAGACAAAGAAATTAAAAGGAGTTAGGGGTAAGATGGCTCTGCTTTAGAAAGCCTGCTTACAAAAGGCCTTACAGCAAGGTTATAACGTCCAGGGGGCTTTGGCCTCGGCCAGTTGCCACCTCCTGTCTTAGAACAAAATGATGGTGGGTCTTGAACTCCCTCCCCCAATCTGTTCGCCCTGCTTCCCCAGACCCTGGCCTGTCCCCTCTAGGTTGTGCCAAATCTCCAGCGCCTCCCCAAACAGACTGCCAGGTCATTTAATAAATTAGACTATTTCCCTCACTCACAATTATCCAATCACACCGCAAACTACATCTGGGCAAGAAAGTGTCTCTCCTGGTGTTGAAATAGGCCTTTCTAGGCCATCTTCCTGATTGAATATGTAGATTGCAGTTCATTAGTGGAGTTCTTCATATGTATGCAAATCAGGCTGTTAACAACTCCAGCTTAATTGTTAGTTGTACTGCAGCTGATTGCTTTTCTTGCTTCCATTCCACACACACACGCACACGCCCTTTTGTAGGCAAGCTCAGTGCCTAAACTTGGGCCACTTTTTACATGCATTTGCTTCCTGGTGAGGGAGGTTTTGTACAAGTTGTGACTTATTAAACAGTAAAGGAAATGTCTAGTGCTATTTTTTTAATCCTTTTCCCACCAGAAATGACTGTTCGTGTCCAAAATAGTCTTGTTTCTCCTCTTCCCCCCATTCAGAGAACAAAAGCTCGCAGTGAAGGTTGATATTATTAGTGAGATTTTAAAAAGGTGGCGGGACTAGGAACAATGTGCTCCAGCTGATGCAGAATTGCTTGAAATCATTTAATAGTAGATCAGTGTGGTCCCTAAATTAGGTTCTCTTGTCCCATTTCCACCACCGCTAATGAGTAATTACTGAGTGTAATTCCTTGTCATTGTCTGTCAGTTAAAATAGAAAGCGTTAGCTTAATGCCTGCAGAATACTTTCCGTCATTCTGATGAGAAGCACCTGATTCTGCAAATTATATTAATGTTCACTTAAGCATTTCTTTGAATATTTGGTGATAAAGCGAAAAATAAAAAAAAGAAAAGAAATTACAGTTCGCCCTGTCAGTTACATCTGGAGAATGGAGGAGCGTTTCAGGGTCAGCGCTGGCATTTGATTCTTTCTCTGCTTGATTCAGTGCAGCGGGGAGGGGTCCACCCTGTGACCTTTAGGACGCCATGGCTAGCAAGGCTACCTGTAGTTAGTGGCTTGAGGAAACAGGCTACAGTTCGTCATGAAGAGCAGATGTGATCACTGCGTACAATTAATTCGTGGACTGGTGTGTGTCAGAATGAAGCAGGAAAACTCCAGGTGTGGCTTGCACCTTGTGTCATTTACAAGGAAAGCTGTCTCTCACTTGTCACTGTGTGCATCCTAACCATGGTCTCTTTCATTTGTAGACCTCCAACCCCATCGACGTCGCTGCTCGACCCGGGACGGTCCCCCATACTCTGCTGCAGAAGGACCCGAGGGTACGTGCAAAGCCAAAGTGGGGCTTGGTCTCTGGACACACAACGGGACTGGTTAGCAGAATCAGGCATGGTCTCTCAGGTCCTTCCCGCTGACCTCGGTCACAGACTGGCAGGATGGTGCCCCTGAGCTGATGGAAGAGGGGTGCTGGGGTAGCTGATTTACCCAAAGTCTCACCACCCACCCCCTTGCATCCACAACGCCACTAGAAACAGCTTTTGCAGTAGGAACAGAACTGGCTGAATTCGGACCCAGAGACAGACACTGAACTTGGTGGTTTCTCCTCTCCGTGTCCATCTCAAGTTTCTTTCACACAGATGAACTAGCTAGAAAATGTTTGAATGGAGACACAGTTAGTGTTTTCCTTGCTGGCGTTCAGGGGATCTTGGATTCCTGGCAGTTATTTTTTTCCCATCTTCCCTAATTACAGTGCCAGTCTGTGCAGCAAAGCAGACCATCTCAACAATTCTCCACATCCAGTTGAGTGGCATCGATTGCTTTCTTCAGTAGTACAGTCATTCCCCCTTTCCTTGTCCAAATCATGCTTAATGCCCCCTGAACAGAAATTCTAACTTTTCCCCTGCTGGCCACGCTTCCAAACACCAAACCGAAGCCATCAAGCTGATTCTGAGTGATGGTGGCCTTTTCTCCGGTTTCCAGATGGAAACTCTTCATGGGAGGCGACGGCTCCTCTTTCTCCTGGTGATATTTCTGTTAGCAGCCCCAACTCAGCCCGCTGTCCTACCTCCTACCTGACACTCCTGTTGGGATAAACGGCCGTCACGTTGGCTCCCACTCCTAGCAACCCAGTATTCACGACAGAATGAAACCCTGCCCGACCCCCACATTATCTGTGCTGAAGCCCACTGGCAACCACTCGTCATCTGTGATTTCTTTCTGTTTGCTAATTTCATGTCCATGAGCTCAGATAGTGGTCTTCTACTTTCATTATAGGTATTGTTTGATGCGCTCAAACTAAATCAGTCATCCAATATGCTTTAGTTATAATTTATTCATAATCAATCTAGACTTCTACTCACATCTATGAACTTGGAAGTTACATGGTAGATATAATCTTGCTTCCTTCATTTCTTATAGTAAAAGTGAAAGAAAGAAATGACAGCCACTTATAATGTTGCCTTTTTTCCTGGCTAAGGGCAGTCATAAATTGTTGACCAGAATTAGGTAGAAGTTTAAAATGACACAACTCTGTATTTTTTACAATGTTCAGTGCATTTCTTTAAACTGTCTAATCTCTGTTATTAATATAAACGGAAAACCCCAAAATCACTGCTGTTAAGTCGACTCCCTCGTATGTAATTGATGCTCTTACTACGTTTCTCAGGCCATAGATCATTTCAAGAGGAGACTGTCTACCTTTCTCCCATGAAATGCGTGGTTGATTTGAACCACTGACCTTTCGGCAAGCAGCACAGCACATACCACCACCAGAGCCCCTTGTTAGTAATACAGAGGCAGCAGCTTAAAGGAATTAGGAAGGATGGCTCAGTTCTTCTCTGTATTGTGTTTGAAAGGTCAGCTGTCCCCTGAAGTCCATTAACATCTAAAGAAGTCTTGATAGGAAGTCCCCAGTCTAAAGCTGTTCTCCCTTAGACCCATCTGACATGCTTTCAAAAGTCTGTGTGCACCAGTAACACTGCTGATGTGGAAAGGAAGTGAATCCCGAGCAGGAGGGCAGGCTGCTGGTGATTGGACTCACTGGGGGCTTGTCAACGTAGACGTATCCAGGCTTGTGAAATGGAGGAGGGGACGAGGAGAGCTTGGCACCTCTGATAGTGTGAAAATGGGTTAATTATTCTCTAAAAGGGCTTCATTTAAAAGTAAAATTCTAACATTTTAATTTCCCCTCCTAATGAAGCACTACAAATTTGTTAATTAGAGCAATTGTTTGAGTGACAGGCGTGTAACCAAGTTGTCATTTTCTTTTCACAGTTGACAGATCCTTTCAGACCTATGTTAAGGGTAAGAACTGCTTCTTCTCAAACTGTTTTGCAACCTTTATCTGACTCCCTGTGGTTTAAAGATTCAAATCCATGGGCAATAAGTAAGCCCTGGAAATGGAGGCTGTGAATGGTGGGAGGGAGTTGGGTCTTTGAATAGGTGAGAAAGTTCATGCCTTACTTCCAGTGCTGGATGTGGCCAGCCCTCTGGGCTGGGCCTGAGGAGTGTGGGGAGAAGGGTGAAAAACAAAACTCAGCTGAGTCAAAGTATCAGGGGAAGACCCTTAAGCTAAAGACTGAATTTAGAATCTCTTTTACTAATCCTACCCTTGCACCTAGAAAATACCAGTCTGTTCCTGTTTATTGTAGCTGATTGTCACCTTGGGCATTTAGTTGCAGGGACCGGCCACAGCGAAGTATGGCCCTTGGCAAGATGTTTTGGAGATCTGTAGAGTGTGTCGTGGGTGCCTTCAGGCTGCGTAGGTGACTGCTGACCGAGATAGAGTGTGCATGGCACTCGGGGTGATGGACGAGTGAATAGATTTCTTGCTTGACTTGACCCGTTTCTGGGGCACATAATCAATGAGTTGCATTCCTCCAAAAGGAAGGGGATTGTGTTGTCCCTTAGGTGAGACAGCCTGTTACTTCTGTGGCTTTACACTGCCCACAACTACCTTACAAGGAGAGAGAACTGGCTCCAGCCCTCGAGCAAAGTTGGCCTATCAGAAAGTTTTTTAACATCTTTTTGCAGAGGTAGTGAAGCCACTGAGGTCCTTGGGCAGGAATACAAATGCAGATACAGCCCCTGGCCTTTACAAGGTCAGAATGGATACTCTCACAGTAACCCTCCGTGGTCACGAGATCATTGGAGGGAGATGGATGATACACTCCCGAGAGGAGGGGCTGGTTTCCTGCAGAAACCCCAAGAGTAGGAAGGAACATGGTCTTTTTAGTCATACTGAACGCTGAACAAGGCACGCCAGTGTGAGTGGGGAGCTCGCTGTTAGGGAGACCTGTGGGAATTGGGCTTGAGGGAAATGGGGTTGAATCTCTTTGTAACACTTTTGGAGAGTTTAAATCTCATTCAGACAGAGTGTGTGTGTTAGAAGGTTGGGCCAAGTCTGTGTACACCCACACACAGTGTCAAGGCAGGTTGTGCCAAGTTCTGCACCCTCTTGTTTGAATCCATTCTCAGTCCTTCTCTAATTAGCTCTCTGGAACAGCTGATTTGCATTCTAGCACAGCGGCCTTTGTTGGGTCAGCCCTCCTGCCCTACCAGGTCTGCCAGCTGGCCCCAGAAAAGAGGGGAGGAGAGACAAAGAGGGGGCCGGGCTGTTACCATCTTGGCTTTGGTATCAGTGAGGGCCTCTTCAGGTCTGCCGCTCTGAGCAGACACTGGCATTGCGGACCCACGTGGCCGGGAAGGGGCCTGTGGGTCCCCGTGTGCAGCCAAGGGAACACAGGAGGCATTGGAGTGGACAAGAGCCTCTTGTTCCACAAAAGAGCCTCACAGCCAAAATCTGCTCCAGGCTCCCGGGGAATTAAAGGTGGTTTTCTCTGTGATGCCTCCCCTCTGACCTCTGTGTCCCTCTTGTTCCAGAAACCAGGGAAATGGTGTGCCATGCATGTTCACATCGCCTGGCAAATCTACCACCACCAGCAGAAGGTCAAGGTCAGTGTGACTTTGGAATGGCGGGCCAGGATGGGGAGGGTGTCAGCATATATGCTCACAGGCAGGAAGGACCTCAAATTACTTGGAAAAGCTCACTGGAAATTATTTACAAACTGGGGAGGCCAGAGGCAAAATTATCAAAGGGAAGTATACCTATTAGCACCTGATGATTTGGGCCCACCTCTCACCCTCATTTTTGATCTCTTATCGATCTGAACTCTTTAAATAGGATTAAATTATGAAAGTTGTAGGCTTCTTAACCATAACCCAGCCACTGCCGTCAGGTTGGTTCTTAGAGAGCCACCCCTGGAGTTATTAAGACTGTCAATCTTTAAGGGAGGAAACGGTCTCATGGTTCTCCCTGGGAGCCACTGATGGGTTTGGAGCACACCTTCTGATTACTAGACACGTGCCCTACCTTAGCACAACCATACCTCCCTCATCTAACTGTGGTGGCCAAGAATGAAAATAGGAAAGTCTGCAGATAAGGAAAACAACTTTGCAATCACACGGATGATAAAACACACTGGTGTTGTCTTTGGCTCATGGAGATTGTCCATCAGGTTTCTCAAGCCGACTCCTGCGTCTTCCTGCCACAGCTCAGCTGGTGAATTGGAACCAGCTTTCTTACAGTTAGCATCCCCATCACATAATGCGCTGTTGCCACTAGGGCTAATTTTCAAGAACGCCTGTATTGAGAATTTTGTTTTTATTTATGAGAGCCGGTGCCTTCTTTTACCCTCACAGCTCTGAGAGGATGGACTGATTGATGCTCTACACAGAGCTTGCTCCTGAGCTTTCATTGGCAACGCAAACCATTAAACTGCTCTTCTAGAGAGTTTGCTGATGTGCAGTGAATTTTCTTTCCACTACTCAGGGCGTTGGTTAAATATTTGGCTGCCAACTAAAGGGTTGGTGATTCGAACCCACCAGCTGCTGCATGGGAGAAAGAGGTGATGGTTTGCTTCTTAACAATCACAGCCTTATGCCCACCCATGTTTCTTGCTGCTTTGTTCACAATAGCAAAGAGCTGGAAATAACCCAAGTGCCCATCAACAAACGAATGGATAGAGAAGCTGTGGTATAGCCACACAATGGAATATTATGCAGCACTGAAAAACAAAGAACTCATGAAATATTATACAAAATGGGTGACCATGGAGGACATTATGCTGAGTGAAATATCTCAGTCACAAAAGACTAATACTGCATAATATTACTGACATGGTTTTGGGGGGGAAACTAAGAGGGGATAATGTACATTGAAACAGAACTGTATAAAAGGAATACATGATTAGGTATTACTGGCATGACAAGAGTCCAGAATAAGATGCATAGTAAAGTGGACTGGGGTGGGGGAAACAGACAAAGAAAGAAATTTTTTTTTAATGAAAGTTTATAGACACTTTGGATTTCCATTCATTCATTGTTGCACTCTTCTGCCTTCCCACCCCTGCCCAATTCACTTTTCTCTTTTAAAAGTAAAATTCTTTCATTGTTATACAGTCCCTCCCCCCACGTCCACTCCACTATGCAGCCTTCATTTTGGACTCCTGTCATGACAGTAATACCTAACCAAAGGTGCAATAATGAATGAATGGAAGTCCAAGTTCTCTATAAACTTTCATTAAAATCGCAATAAATTAAAAAAGACTAAGAAATTGTTCTAGATTAAAAGATACTAGTTCCGTTGCTATAATCCACATTTCAACGTCAAGAAAATAAAAATCCTGACCCCTAAGGACCAGGTGTCCTGGGACTTACAAGCTCTGAGTCAGCATCAGCTCAGTGCCAAGGGTAAGATGCAGTTGGGGCACATCCAGCTCGTTTTCCGTAACTGTATCACAGATGCCGTTTTTCTTTCTCATACTTGCATTTTCCTGATACAGGTGAGTGCATTTGATGCTTGACGAGGGTCTTTATTTCCTATATTAGTATTTTTGGATGACTGTATACAGCAGAACAACCTCTACACATAATCCCCAGTGGCTCAGTCCCATTCTTCACATCCTGGCTACAGGTGCTTCGTTTTTGTTCTCATCTTTCTGTTCCCACCAGTCTCACTTCACACTCTGCCATCTAGCCTTCTTGTCTTTGGTGAATTCTTGGCCATTTGGTCTTGTATAGATGACTTCTTTTAAAAAGCTCGCGGTGCCCAAGGATGATTGTCTTAGCTTTCCAAGCTCTCCTACCTTTTATTTTAAAAGGTGAGCTCAGGTGATAGCTTTGGTTTATCAGACACTAATCCCGTGGGTCCCTTCAGGCTCAGAGCTCTTTACAAATTCAAGTTCTGTTCCACATTGCTCTCCCCTTTCTGCCAGGATCCATTTATCATGAGCCTGGTTAGAATGTGTGGTATTGGTAGCTGAACACCATCTAGTTCTTTTGGTTTCAAGGTGGAGGCGACAGTGATTCATGGAGACAGTCAGCCCTGTGGTCCGGGTCCTTTTACAGTCTGGAAAAATGGGAGAAAACCACCTATCAAGTAATCCCAACAGACCCCATGAATCCTACTTCTTCAGGAACAACATTTAGTCTTAGGAACATTCGGGAACTTGATCAGACCCGAAGAATAATAGAAGAGAGGAGGAAGAAGCAGGTGACATGATTAAAACCCTCTGTCACTAAATGAGGTCGTGAGGCTCTATTGCAATCGTTGTCAAATACCTGGCTGCTCTTGTAAGCTCCCATCAGTGAGTTTTGCTCACTTCTCCTTCATTGGCAGGCAAGGTTTAATTAGAAACCTTAGTTTGGCTTCATTAGGAAATGGGTGCGCTCTGAAGAGCTAACTAGATTTTGATGCTTAGTTCAATTTGCTTTCTGTTCTGGCTGACGGGCAAAACAGTAGGCAAAACACACCTTCGCTTAAAAGTGATGAAGGATGTTGCCTGTGCACACTTTAGCAGTTCCGTTCCACAAAAGGGTCCCCAGGGACAAAAACTTTCATTATCCCGATTCAATTAGGCCCCTTGAACGTGAGATAGCTGTGCTCATCTTCCCTTCTCAGCCAACTACTCGTAATCCCCAAGCTCCGTTTGGCTCCGTGGACCTAAGTAGTGGTTAATGGAACTGTGCTGTGTACCATGCAGTATTAGCACTAAATAATTTGGCAGCCAAATTAGAGGCCCTCAAAAGATGTTTCTAGGTTTATGGTGAATTAGCGGCTTTGTGTTGGGGTCTGGCTGAAGGGGTCCCTGGAGTTGTGAGTTGAGCTTCTGCTGTTCTCTTACCTGGAACATTTGTGCCTTCTGTCTGCTGAGTCCACGCCGACTCAGGAAGCCCCTTGTGTGCCGGAGCAGAACTGGATTCTGTAGGGTTTTCAGTGGCTGATTTTGGGGAAGCACGTCACCAAGTCTTGCTGGATGGATTTGAAACTCCACCTTTTCCGTTAGCAACTAAGCACTGAGTTACCTATACTCCCAGGGACCCTGAGCTTTGAGAAACTTGGGTGAGTCTGACAGGGGCTCCAGTCTTCAGTAATAAGGAATGACAAACCTGTTCTATTAAATGGCACCTTGTTGACTTATTCCTTCTGGGATGGGGCATGAGAGGAGTGGAACAGACTGAACACATCCGTATTGCAAGAGTCCAGAGCTGATTAAAGACCGTAAATGAGTAAGAGAACATGGAGCTTAGCATTTTCAGGGTGCGTCCAGCCTAAGGGCTGTGCCTGTATGAGGCAACTGCCAGCAGTTCAAAGAGAAGACCTTTGCAAATACAAAGGGTGGGGCAACTTTAAAAGCATGCTGGTAGGGGAGCTCTGGTGGCCTAGTGGTAAGGAGCTGCAACTACAATCCCAGAGGCACACGGTTCGAAGCCACCAGATGCTCTGCCGGGGAAGGAGGGACAATCTCCTCCTGTACCAGTCAGATCTGACTTGATGGTACACTCACACAAAAATAATAATTTAAAAAAAAAACAAACATGCTGGTGAGAGAACTGGTAGCACAGAGAACACAATGGGAAAGGACAGCAAAGGACATGTAAGCAGTTTCCAGGCTTAGAGAAAGAGGGCGGGAGCGTTTATCTGTAATCAGAATGGTTGACAGTTTAAGGCACCCAGGAGCTCCACAGGAAAAAGGCACGGCATTCTTCTCCCATAAATATTTTTCCTTATAGCCAAGAAAAGTCTCAGTGTAATTTTGAGCTGTTGAAGAAGGTGAGCTGAAAAATTAGTTTGAGGGTAGATGAATAGGAAAGACACAACCACTCATACAAAACACGTCACTATGAGAGAGGTTCTTGGTGACATTCTGGTCTGCAGTCCCCTCTCCCCCTGGAAGTTGCTGGAGAAAAGGCCTGGAGATCTGCTCCCATAAAGATTACCACCTCAGCCCAGTGCTGTGGCCCTTAGTCACCTTTGCAACTGGAATGAAACCCACCCTCCCGGCCAGGCAGTCACCAGGCCTAGAGGGTAAACAGTAACGCTGTGACACTTAGAATAACCAGCCATCTACGGTCAAAAGAAGAGCATTTTCCCAGAGGACAGGAAGGGTTAAATAGAAGGGTGATGGGAGGAAGACCATGCATACATTGTATGTATTAAAGTTATAAAACAAACTCTGTGAAGAGTTGAATGGAAACCAGTTTGCTCTGTGGAGTTTAAATGAAATTGCAGGGGGATAAAATGATCACGGTCTAGAATCCCTGTGGAGCAGGTCTGCTTTCACATGGGTCACAATGAATAGGAACTGGTGGCACCTGGAAACAACAAGGAGGAAAGGCTGTCATTCAATTAATGTTTCTACTTCATTTAAAAATAAGTAACAATAATCATTTGCAAATTAGCTTATAGGCATGCAAATATTTCTTCATAACTTTTAGTTACTAATGTAGTGCGATCTATTAAAGTAATGCAAAGAGTCATTAAACAATTAATTTACACAATAGACTGTTATGTGGAATTGCTAATAAAATGAGCTTTGGAACACTCGCTTTGAAATGTGCTAACATGGGCTAGGCAGCCAGTAACTAAACTGTCTCAGTGTTGGGGATAGTTTGAGTCCTCAAATGGGAATTTTGGTGCTTGGACTTTCTAATGAAAGAATCTCTTATATGTTGACCTGCTTTTCTGTCGCCTGGAGGTCAAGCCCCCTTAAACAGGTTATCCTTATAGCATGTTTAAACTTGACTGTATGGTCAGAGTCTCCTTCCCTGCTGCTCTTGAGTTTCACTTTCATTGTTATCCTCACTGTTCCAGAAACAGATGCAGTCAGACCCACACAAGCTGGACTTCGGACTGAAGCCCGAGTTCCTGAGCCGCCCCCCAGGTCCCAGCCTCTTTGGAGCCATCCACCACCCCCACGACCTGGCACGGCCTTCGACTTTGTTTTCTGCTGCTGGTGAGTGGGGAGAGGGGGCTGGGAGATCTCTCGATCCCGTCAGCTCAGCGAGTGATGTTTGTGATCATCGCTTCCGTCCAGTCACTCCCGGACAGAAGGCCCTGTAGCATTAGCAGTGCATCTGCTCACTGGTCGCGTGGATGTGAGTCGGTGTCACTCGAAAGCATACCAGAGTCTGCTGAAGGTCAGGGCTTTGGCAGAGGCTGCTTGGAAGAAACAGTGGTTGCAATTGTGCAGAGCTCTGCGATCCCCCTTACTGTGGGCCTGTCCAAGCACTCTTTCCTTGTGCACCAGGACATACTGTACCTGGACAGTGTGTGGATGAAGAAGGACTGTTCGATGCAGCGAGAGTAGATCCGCTGTCGAAGCTACGGCCGCTGCCCAGCTGGATGTGCTGGTGGAGGAAGCGGAGGGCCGGGATGAGCGGTTCTTGGCCCCTGAGCATGCAGCTCTTGTCTCTGGGGTTTACCATGTGAAAAGGAAGGAAGAAGATTGAGACTCCGCTCTGCTTCAGGGCAACACCTCTCGGTGCAAACAAACAAACAAAAACAACAAACCTCACTGCCATCAATAGCCTCCATCATCGTCCAGGGCTGTGTTGTTACGGGAGGAGACTGCCCATCTTTCTCTGGTGGAGTGGCCAATGGATTTGAACTTCTGACCTTATTTTGGTGGCAGCACACAACCACCAAGGCTCCAGCACAAACAGGGTTCTGGTTGTATGGCACTCTGGTGGTGCAGTGGTTAAGTTCTCAGTGGCTAACCAAAGGCTGATGGTTTGAACCCACCCGGCAGCTCTGTGAGAAAGACCTGCCAGGAAGAGTGTTGGGTTTAGGTGCCATCCAGTCACCTGTGACTCATGGCAGCCCCACGTGTGAGCAGCATAGCTCAGTCCCACGTCCTCACAGACGCTGCTGCGGTCAGGTCCACGGCTGCAGTCCCCGCGTCGTCCTCACAGATGCTGCTGCGGTCAGGTCCACGGTCAGGCCCACAGCTGCAGTCCCTTTGTCGGTCCATCTTCCTGAAGACCTTCCTCTTCGCTGACCCTCTCCTTTGCCAAGCATGACCACCTCCTCCGGGGCCTGGTCCCTCCTGACAACGTCCAAAGTTTATGAGACAGTCTCTCCATTCTAGCTTGTCAGGAAGTGCTTTACCACTTCAAAGACAAACTTGTTCATCCTTCTGCAATCCCTGGTATTTTCAACACTTTTTACCAGTACCACCATTCAGAGGCATCAGTTCTTACCTATTCACTGCTAAACTTTCACAGGCATAGAAACAACTTAAGACACCACAGCCCAGGAAACTCCGGACGACTTGTTCTCTGTCATGGGGTCTAGGAGTCAAGAACACACCACGAGGAGCATTGGGTAGAAGAGAAGCAGCCTCTTGGGCTCAAGTTCCCTTACTCCTCAGTCTCTTCCAAAGCTACTTTTGGAGCCCAGTCCCTGACCCAGAGCCCCGCACAGCAAATACTTGTGATCGGTGGCATTCAGCTCACTCTGGTCTCAATAGCAGATTTTCTAACTTCATGCCCGGTGTGTTCAGCACAGTTGATTCTCTGGATGTAACTACTGATGGGACTCCTTTCTCCTCCTGGAGCACAAGTCTCACCTCCACCTTACCTGTCCCCTTCTGAATTTTCCTGCGAGATTCATTTTTGGTGGCCAGGCTTTTCCCAGCAGAAGGAGAGAAACAGCTGCATTGCAAGAAGTAATCGTGATAACGGGCCTTGTTGCCAAAGCAAACGATTCACCCTCGAGGGTGGCTGGAATTTGCCATGGTCTCAGGTTTCTCTGTCAGTTCTATCTGGGGACATATTGGAAAGCTCTGTTGCCATGGCACCTCAGCGCTGAGACAGGCCTGCATTAAGAGCAATTTGGGGAGAGAAATAGAGAGATTTCCTCCCTGGCTTCCATTTTCGCCCAGCAGATGAATTGCCTTCTTTTGCTTCGATAGTTTTGGAACTGCAAGGCACCCCTGGGGGCCCTGGGCTGGGAGAAGCTCTGGTCTTCACTGAGGCATTAATTAGCTTGCACTGCTCAGACGGCATGTGGCCAGAATTGTATTTAGCTGGCAGCACAGTTAAAGCCTAGGGAGGGTGATGGGCTCAATTTGCTGGGTGGTGGGGGGCTGTCATTGCTGCGCGCCCTGTGGGAGGATAGCTGCCATCTAGGAGATTACAGAAGCTCTTAGGTCCGAGAGGCCATGACTCTGGAGCCGTGGTGATGTCCATGGGGCCCTGTCCAAGGATACTACTGCCAGTACACACCCAGGGTCCTTCCCATTGGAAGACAAGTGACTCCAAGCAGAAATGGCATTTCCATTTTCAGTGGGACAGCCCTCTTCCACTTAATCTGTTTTCCCGAGGGATTTATATTTGTTTCTTCAGAAACTCAGATGAAAGTAGCCCGAGACCGTTACTAGTCTGCTCTTTTATCCAGGCCTTGGTTACACTTCCCCATTGCAGGGTAATCACTCTTAATGAGAACACCCTGTCTGGACACTCATTTCCCCAAACCTTCTTGGTTCCAGAGACTTCTCCTGGCCCAGCTCACCTCAGTATTTCTAGTCCTGTGTGTCTTCTCGCTGGCAGTGGCCGGCCCAGTTTAGGAAGGGAGAAGAAAGGAAGTCTGCAGCCTGGATGGAGTTCAGCCCAGTTCTGATTTGACTTTAATCTCTCAGTTGGGCCCCAAGCACCTAGAATCCAGCTATGAGTGGATGAAATCTGATTTTGTTCTGTTGAACTTGCTAGGTGCTGCACACCCAACCGGGACCCCGTTTGGGCCACCTCCTCATCACAGCAACTTCCTTAACCCCGCTGCCCACCTCGGTGAGTTGCCACACGTGGACGGAGTACCTCCCTCACTCCCAGTGCTGCTGCTGTTACTGTGCACACATGCTGTTCACTGCAGGTCGGTCTGTCTGTCCTCCCTCAGGCAGCTTCCGTCTGGAGTAGCCCAGAGCCATTTCTCAATACCCGGGAATCCAGGTTTAGAAAGCCTGCTGCTGGGCACCAGAGGTCACCTGTTGGTGGTGGAAAGACAAGATTCTTACCACTACTCCTTTGCATTTCAGTGCTCTGTAAATGACGCTCTTCCTAGCCAAGGTGCCTCGTTTCTCCTTCCTCTGTTTATTGGACACATACAGATTATAATAAGCAGCAGTGTGCACTGTGACTCCTAGGAGACAGGATGTGTGTGTCTTCAGAATGCCGTCCCTCGGACATCTCAGATAGGTCCCTAGAAGCTCCATGAATCACTGGGGAAGGGCCAGTGGACGGCTTAAGAAGTAGTGACCCTTCTGGGTAGAAGAGAAACAGTACAAAATGCCGAGTGCAGGGAAAAGCTTTTTTCAAACTCTAGTGCTAGAGAGGTGGGAGGGCCACCCCTGTCCAGCTCAGGAGACACGTGACCCTCACCTGGCACAGGCTGTAACTGGGTCCCTCCCCTGTCTGCTCCGCAGAGCCTTTTAACCGGCCCTCAACGTTCACGGGCCTGGCAGCCGTTGGTGGCAATGCCTTCGGGGGACTTGGAAATCCTTCAGTTAGTAAGTACCTCTACCTTCTTAACCTCTGCCTGGGACCATTGATCTCCTCTGATCTATTCTGTGCCTGGCTCAAGACCTTACTAGAGAAAAGAGAATGATCTGCTTGGGAAACACATTTAGGCCATCCCATTGCAAAAGCAGACCTGGGTGGTGAAGTTCGGAATCATTTGCAACAAAACCCTCACGGGGGGCCAACCCGCTGTCCAGGTGTGAAACTGAGGGCCCGGGATGGCTTATCCACCATCATTCTTGACCGTCAAAGACTTTGGCAACATCCCCATTAGAAATGAGTTTTCAATTCCATCTTTGCTTGGGCATTAGTAGGAAGCTCTGGTGCCGCTGTGCTTGAGGTGTTCACTGCTAACTGAAAGGTCAGTGGCTTGGACCAGCCAGCCACTGCTCAAGAGATGATGTGTCTGTCTGCTTCCATACAGAGCGACAGCCCCAGAAACGCTGTGCTTGTCCTGCTCTGTCCTGCAGGGTCGCAAGGAGTCGGAATCAGATCAGAGGAACTGACTTTTTTTTCCCTTAGCACTAGTAGAATTAAAAAGGCTCAAAGAGGATTATCTAGGGGGGAACCCCAGGCTCAGAGTAGCCAGGAATTGATAACTTTTCATCATTTATTGCATACTTCATCATCTGGAAGCATGATGTCGTGTCCTCCCGTTTAGAGTAAGCTCCATTAGGAAAAGAGTTGTCACGTTTCTCATTTTTGTCTCTGAACAGTCAAACTTGTTTTCTTTCATGCTTATTGTAGTCCAGTCAGAGCCGACTCCTAGCTGACCCTCCCTCAGGTTTCCCAGGCTGTAGATTTCCCAGGCGCTCGCCCGTCTGTCTCCTGAGGAGCCACGACGAGACCCGCACAGCCAGAAAGGCGTTGCCGTGGGGTGAGCCGCTCGGCTCCCTGCAGGCACCGTGGCCGGAGCGAGCTCTTGCTAGCAGTTAACGCGCCCTGTGTGCCGTGCACTGGACACAGAGCCCCAGCCACCACAGTGGGTCTTTAAAAAAACAGCTGGGTGCCGAGTGTGTACAACCTCTTAGACCAGTGGGCCTGCCGGGTCTCTGACAAGATTTGTTTTAGGTCACTCAAGAGCTGGGAAGGTAGCATCAGTCACTGTGAGGCCCGCCATGACTTCCTCATCGTCAGCACCCCCTGCATGCTCCTCCCATCCATCTGGCCAGGGTCTCGGTACCGTTCGCTCCCCTTCCTGTGTGATTCCCTCCCTTCCCCTTCAGATTGGGGTTGGGGAAAGAAAAGAAAATAAAAAAGCTGTGAGCTACCTCTTCAGGGTAGGACAAGAGTTACTCTAATGAATGTGTTAATCTCCTTTCCTTTTCCAGCTCCCAATAATATGTATTCATTTTAACTCTGAATGCTGTTAAAAGTTTTTTGGTAAGTACCTTCATGCGGGCAGGTTATCGAATTTTTCTCTGAAACCTTTTTTGTTCTCCACTTCACCATTTCAGCACCCAACTCAATGTTCGGCCACAAGGATGGCCCCAGTGTGCAGAACCTTAGCAGCCCTCACGAGCCCTGGAACCGGCTGCACCGAACGCCTCCGTCGTTCCCGACCCCTCCGCCCTGGCTGAAACCAGGCGAGCTGGAGCGCAGCGCGTCCGCTGCAGCTCATGACAGAGATAGAGATGTAGATAAACGAGACTCCTCCGTTAGTAAAGATGACAAAGAAAGGTACGGAAAGACCCGCTCTCGAGTCCCACTGGGGAGCCCGCTCCGCCCCGCCCAGCCTCGTGCCTACTGTCCGCTGACCCTTAGCCACAGCACCTCCACGCAGCAGCCTGCAGCCCTGAGCAAGCACCCCACACCGCGCAGGGCATCCCTGACCGTAGGTTGAGCACTGTGAGCGCAGACCAGTGGAACAGTCCAGCAGCGAGACGCCTGCCGTCCCCACACCGTGTCTGAGAGCTAGCCAGCCGGAGCCCCGGCCCCTCACGGCATGAATCAACTCCATGCTTGCTTCCCAGTCTGTGCAGCCCATTACCTCATCCACAGGTTTTGCTCTCGCCCTCCTTTTTGTTTTCCGCCCAGCAAGTCATATCTGCATCGCCTCATCCTATCTCCCCTTCAGTCGTGTTCACACACCCACCAGCTGAATGAAATGGGGAAGGCCGACAAGCAGGGGTGTTTGCCAGTGGAAGTATCCACTAACCTTTTCTTAATCTCCATGCTTGATAGTCTGTGCCTGAAAAAAGAAGTAGCCTTAAAGAGGAAATGGTCTTAGGCTATTTCATCTTGACAAAATAGGGCGTCAGGTTTTCTCTTCTATTTAAACAAATTGCCAAAACAACCCAGCCTCATTCACGCGTGTCACAGGAGAGCTGTGCTCTGAAGGATGTGTCTGGGGCTGAATTTTCAGAAGCGGCTAGCCCTTTCTTCTCCACTGTCTTGGGAGGCACTCGAACCTCTGATCCAAGCTCATTAACCATTTGCACCAGGCCAGGAGTCCCAAGTCTTCACAAGAGAGGCTTCTCAGAAAATGCCTTATGACAGTTGCATTTTTTTTGTTGTTTAAGACAAATTTAAAGAGGCTCCCTCTGTATCATTTTGTATTTCTGTGTGTGGGTTCCCAGTCACCAAAAGGATTTCATCTCTTGGGCCTGTGTGTGTGGCAGGCTGTCTGTCACTGGCCATAGGTTAATGGATTCTGTTCTTGGACAATGTACACTTTGTCCTGAAGGCTGTATGACGCGCTTCCCTCAGCCATCCGGAAGACCATTCTAATCAGCTGGCTCGACCCCTCTAGACCTGCAGAGAGCCACAGGTGACTGCCAGGCGTCACATCTTAGCTGTAGAAGTGGTTTCCCGTCCGTCAGGAAAAGTGAGGGAATGCTAACAGATTTCACTCTTCTCTTTCCTTACCTCTTCGACTACTCATGGCTCAGCCCTTGCACGCTGCCTAGAAACAAGATTGTTCTGAAAACCTCATCTTCCTGCTGCCACTGTCCGAGTCCTCTGATCCTGGCCATCACTGACATTCTTGTCAGCATCACACAGTTGGTCAAGGAACTTTCCCAGAGTCTGGGCTCCCTCTTCAGCCAGACTCCCCGAGTCTCATCGTCTGTCCTTCTGCCCCACCCTCAGACAGGGGTCTCGTTCCTCAGTCCCTCACAGATGCCCTATAATGCAGTCCTGCCTCATCGTCCATCCTTCTGTCCCACCCCAAAGTGGGTCCCCCTGTGTCTCATTCCTCAGTCTCTCATATATACCTGTAACGCAGTCCACACGAGTTTTTATGTGTTGTGGGTCTCCCCCTTCTGACTTCTTCCATCATCAGACTCTGTCTTTCCTCTCTCTCTCTCTCAATGCAAAAGCATCTTCTCCATCATGGGTTCCTCCTCCAGGCACCCCGTCTCAGATACATTGTGTCTACCTTCTTTTCTATGAATCCCACCATTGTCACAAGGGCCAGCAGCACGTGGCTCATGTGGTAGCCACACCCTCCTTGTATTATCTGAGTTTGAAGGGACACATTGTGTCCTGTCTCACAGGAAACCATTCTTTCTGAGTCTTGCAGATGGAGCCTTGTCTCGTTAACGTCTTGACCCACTTCCAGAGGGAAAAATCTAGAACCTTCTCTATGATCCTAATTTGAGACCCATGACTCTTAAGACTCTGACAATGATCTCCCGCAGATGCTCCCACTCCCCTCGTTCCTAGGGCCTCACCCAGAGCTGCTCTCATGTAGGCAGGTCAGGCCAGGCAGTCGGTCCCATCACACCATCTCATCGGCACCCCCGCAGTCGACAAGCCGTTTCACCTGCACGCACCTTGCCTCTTTCCTCTCCAGGGACAGCGTTGAGAAGAGACACTCCAGCCATCCGTCGCCAGCACCTCTCCTCCCGGTGAACGCCCTGGGACACAGCCGCAGCTCTGCCGACCAGATCCGGGCTCATCTGAACACAGAGGCTCGCGAGAAAGACAAGCCCAAAGAGAGGGAGCGTGACCACACGGAGCCCCGCAAGGACCTGGCGGCCGACGAGCACAAGGCGAAGGACGGCCACCTGCCGGAGAAGGACGGGCACGGCCACGAGGGGCGCGCCGGGGCCGAGGAGGCCAAGCAGCTGGCCCGCGGGCCGTCCCCCTACACTCGGACCCCGACAGTGGAGGGCGCCCGGCCCAACAGCACCTCGAGCCGCGAGGCCGAGCCGCGCAAGAGCGAGGGGGCCTATGAGAACCCCAAGAAGAGTGCCGAGGTCAAGGTGAAGGAGGAGCGTAAGGAGGACCACGACCTGGCCCCCGAGGCCCCGCAAGCCCATCGGGCCTCTGAGCCACCGCCACCCAGCTCCTCAGCCAGCGTCAACCCGGGGCCCCTGGCCTCCATGCCCATGACCGTGGGGGTGGCCGGCCTGCACCCCATGAACAGCCTCAGCAGCCTGGACAGGACTCGCATGATGACACCTTTCATGGGCGTCAGCCCCATCCCGGGCGGAGAACGCTTCCCCTACCCCTCCTTCCACTGGGACCCCATCCGGGACCCGCTGAGGGACCCCTACCGGGAACTGGACATCCACAGGAGGGACCCCCTGGGCAGAGACTTCCTGCTGCGGAGTGACCCCCTCCACCGCCTGTCAACACCCCGCCTGTACGAGGCCGAGCGCTCATTCCGGGACCGGGAGCCCCACGACTACAATCACCACCACCACCACCACCCCCACCCGCTGGCCGTGGACCCCCGGCGCGAGCACGAGCGTGGTGCCCACCTGGATGAGCGTGAACGCCTTCATGTGCTGCGTGACGACTATGAGCACCCCCGGCTGCACCCTGTGCACCCTGCCTCGCTCGACGGACACCTGCCGCACCCCGGCCTTATCGCCCCCGGCCTGCCCAGCATGCACTACCCCCGGATCAGCCCCACGGCGGGCCACCAGAACGGACTGCTCAACAAGACGCCCCCCACGGCCGCACTCAGCGCGCCGCCCCCACTCATCTCCACACTGGGGGGCCGCCCCGTCTCCCCGCGAAGGACCACCCCTCTGTCCGCAGAGATGAGGGAGCGGCCACCGTCCCACACCCTCAAGGACATCGAGGCTCGATGAGAGGAGCCACGGTCCTCCAGACACCATGCTTGACTTTCCACAGAAGTAAATTGGACACTTCGGGGGACTTCTCACTGCCCTTGGGGCTGGCCAGCCCCCAGCTCTTGTAAAAAATGTACAGACACCAGTGCAGATTTTGAACCAGTTTTGTATCTTCTCTGTTGAAATTTTTCAGATCTTTTAGCCAAGTCATCTGTTCTTACGTCTCTGGTACTTTATATTTTCCCCCCGGTTTGTTTCTAATCGTATAAAACTTTCTGAGTTTTGAACCAAAATGGTAAATACAACACACACACCAATTTGATGATTTTGGGGGAGGGGGGGACACACACACAACCCACCGCAGAGCTGTTTCTGGGAGAGCAAAGCTTGTACATAGTTATGTAAAAAAGATCGCTTCGTGGGCTAACGGTTCATATATGCAAAGGGTAAGAAGAAAGCTTTACTTTGTACAGATGTAAATAGCTAAAGATTAAGTAACATAATACATTAATACTTCTTAAAATGTGCTATTTGCAAACTTAATATCACTGAACACGGTCAGTCCGGACCGGGTTCCCATGTTATTATAGACAGCTAAACCCTTCAACTATGCAATGAATGTCAGGGCTTTCCAATCAAAGCCCGCCCAACTCAAAGCAGCCTTTTCCAATCCATTTACAACAAGCTTAAGGTCATGTTTTCCCTAAATAGCACTTACATGATACGACTCACTTTTCCTTACTTGTTTTGTTTAGGTTTTTGTGGGTGGTTTTGTGTTTGTTTTTTCTTTTTACTTTTTTTTTTTCCTCTCCCAAAAGGAGAAACAGCTGATTTTGCAGATGGGGGACCCTCAGGCTGACACTTTGCACTAAAGTTGCTGCTTGTGGTCGCTGGGGAGGGGACAGGTGCAGCCCTGAAGGGGGTGATGTGAGGCCATAGGCAGGAGGGGTGGGCTTTGTCAGATGCCAAGGTCATGGGTGGTGGCATCCCTCAGACGGACCCCTGTCTGTACGGGTCACTGAATGCCAGGTGCTCAGGCAGGAACCAAGCCTATTTTCCCACATGTCCTAGCTCACATCCATACACACTTCCTAAGGCGAGTCAGTTAACGCCCAAACAGATCCTGAAAGAAAGCGTCCTGTTTTCTCAGATGATGGATATGTTTTCACGGTATTTCCATAACTGATGAGTTTAGGGTACTGAATTCCAGTTGATCATCAAGTGTGGGATTTGCCAGCACAGAAATAGACCTCGTGTAACCCATCGAGAGTTACAGAGGGAAGGCAGGGAGAGAAAAGTGGCCGAGAAAAACCGAGTGTGTGCGTGTGTTTTTAAGTTTGCATCAACCTTATTGTCTCTTCATGATACTTTTATAAAGCATTAAGCCTCTTGTCTACATACTTGGAGAGAATATGACTGTACTAGCAGAGAAATACAATATATCTTGTCTACTGGACTGTAAAATATATGTATGAAATAAAATTAGTTCCATTTGGTCTTCTAGTATATTCAAGTGCTATCTGACGTTGTTACCCTGTTTTTGCAAAAAAGAAAAATAAGAAAAAAAGTTAACTACAGACCCTTGTTTCTAATAAGCAGAGAGATCTATTTTAGTAGTAAATGAAGGTTTAGTTGTGAGTTTCCAATTTTGTGAATTCCAGATGTTGTGCAGTGGTTTTATTTTGTTTCGGGGGTTCTTTTTGGTTTGTTTTGGTTTGGGGGTTTGTTTTGGTTTGGGGTTTTTTTTTTTTTGTTTTTTTTTTTTTTTTTAAGATGACAACTAAAAAATAAAAAATATCTGAGGAATATATACACTGGAAACTGTAGTGGTAGCTTTCAGTATTGTAAAGAGATTGTTCTATACAGACCTTTTTGCTGTTTATCCTGTATGTAATAAAGTCCTTTCTAGACCCCATGTGAAAAGAGAAGTGCAGCGATTGAATCTTCAGCATGTTTTCATCGGCGGAGACTTCTTGTGTAATGTTAACTGTGCCATGTTATTAAAAAATGTGAACTGAGCTTCCAGCTGCTTGTTTGTGTGAGGTAGCCATCATTCGCTCAGGGTAGAAGCCGCCCTGGTGACCACGGAGCCCCAGAACCCGACCTGTCCAAGTCGTCTTATTCTGGTTCTGTTCAGAACAAAGTGCTGTCGCGGGAAGGTGCTTGTAGATTCTGTAGCTGAATGGATGTGGAGACAAGTCAGCAGAGTGCTCTTCGGGCCTTGAGCTGATGCCAAAACTCTGCTTTATCCGCATTGATGAGAAACTTGAAGACCTCTGAAATACCTGTTCCTTTGCATTTCAGTCTGTGCAGACGATGTGTTTCTAATTAAGACCTTGCAGTAATCTCATCTTCTTCCTGTCTGCTTTTTCTGTATCATCTTGGTTGATTCCAGTGGCACATCCCTTGTGAGCCTGCAGACCCATCATCCTCCCACGTCTGGTTTTAGATGTGAACATTGTTGCATTCCTTGTGTTGACCGGATGAAATGGCTGTTGGGATGAGATGATTCAGGTTGGTGTCTGTGTCTCCCTAGGGGAAAACAAGCCGCCTTCTCTCCTCACCAGGTTGGTACGATGGAGTGTCTATCCAATGGGAATTTGTAAGGGAACTGGGCAGGCATCATGAGACTGTGTCTTGGGGGTGATGGGGAGTTTGGAAGATTATCCTGCAGTCTGAATTACTAATATCACTACTAGATGGTGATCAGAGACTCACTTAGCGTTGTTTTTACACTTGATCTTAACCAAAAGGCCAAGAACTGATCAGCACTGTTTTTATATGCTGATACCCGACTCCCAACCTGGAGAAGATAATTTTAAAATCCAGTGTGTTGGAAAACAGGGTAAGTGCCGTTTCTCCCAATCCGGGCGCTCATGCGTCCTCGGAACCTTCCAGTGTCGGTGGTGTCTGATTTGCCGTGTGTGGCAGCATGCCTCCACGGGCACCATCTGCAGTGTCAGAACCCGAGGAGAGTGGGGCTCTCCAATCAGTCACGGTATTTAATCCCTGGGGCTTGATGCGTCTCCACCTCTGCATATTTTCCCTCTAATTACACGCAGCTCCTCAGCAGTGATGGGTCCCAGCCCCAATTTGATTTCCTGCTAACCTATAGATGCTCTAATTATCTCCACAATCTTTGACTGACAATGATCTTGTTACCTGCTAATGGTACATGACAAGTAAAATAGCGAATATAATGATGCGATAATTACCATTTTGGATGGATATTTGCAGCAGCATTTGCTGTTTATCCTTTTTTTCTGCTTCAATCAAGGTGAGGAAGAGGAAATAAGATGTTGCTTCATATATAGATGGCATAAGAAGTGCAAGGCAGGATTTTGCAGTAAAATTAGCCATTAGCTGTGCAACTGCACACTTAAGACACATTCATGTATTTGTACCCGTAACTGGGGCAGAGGGGGAAGCAATTGGGCCTGAGAGTTAGATCAGTTAAAGGGAAAAGGTTAACAAAAGCAGTTAAGAGCAGGGAGCTCTGGTGGCCTAGTGGCAAGAAGCTGTGCTGTAATCCCGAAGGAGTGTGGTTCGAATCCACCAGATGCTCCACTGCAGAAGGCGGGGCAATCTCCTCCTATGCTAATCGGATCTGACTTGATGGTACACAGCAAAGGGGGCGGGAAGCAGTTATGAGCATTCTAATACGTTAGTGTTTAAATTCCTCTGTTTTGCAAGACAGGGTGAGATTTCAATCTGTTGTTTCTGAGTCAACTATGAGATTTATAATCTATAAAACTGTCATGTAAGACTATATACAGTCTATAAAAACCTTTATAGCATAAATGTAAGAGTCATAACTCAATGGCACCTAGTGATTGTTTTGTCTATGGATTCCTAAGCAGTTTTTTAAATTATATTGGTTTGCATACAAAATTCATACACATTGTGTTTCACACTTTTCCTTCATTCATACTGTGTTTCACACAATCATTCCCATACATTGTGTTTTCTAAACTTGACCCCCATTGAATTATGCCCATCATTACCCTGTCTCTTCAGGTTGCTGTCAGATCTTTCCTGTCTAAGCAATTTCTTCAACTTGCTGAGCTCCCTTTCTGTCTTGTTAGGTGCTGTCAAGTCCACCCCAGCTCCTTAGATGACAGAACTAAACGCTGGCACCACTCCTAGCCTTCTTCCTGTCTGTGTGCCCATTATTGAAGCCACTGTCAGTCCACCTTGTTAGAAGTCTTCCCCTTTTTTCACTGGCCCTTCATTTACCCAAGCATAGTGTCTTTCTCCAAAATAACACGATGATATGCCCCAGGTATGTGAGAAGATGTTTCACCATCCTTGCCTCTAAGGAATATCTTGGGTGTACCACCTTCAAGACAGATTTGTTTTTCTGGAAATTCATTAAATATTTAGTACTCTTCTCCAATACAATTCAAAGACATCAATTCTTTGTTTGGTTGTTTTTTAATGTATTGTCTAACTTTTAGAGGCGTACAAAGCAAAACATGTACCCTGGTGGAGAGAGAGGTCCTATACAAATGAGAAAATTGTTTGGTTTTCAACACTCTTGCTACATTGTCATGAAGATTCTTGGAAAACGCTGATGTTTTCTGGCAGGACCTGATGGAGTGGGTGGGGAATTAATTCTAGGATGTCAGACTGCCCCCATCCAGGTGTTTATCACCTTAGTGCACAAACAGTGGAGCCTAGTCTCTGAGCTGGTATTTGGGCCTCTCACTGAAGCCTAGAAAATGAAGTTCTTTTTGAAACCTAAATTTCTGCCCTGGACAAGACCCTGGGCTAGTCAGTCAGTTTCACCATCTGTGAGGTGAATTTTTCAGCTGTTATCTTATCCTCTTGCAACTCCATCTGTATTTGTAGCTGTTTTAGTCCTTGGGTAATTATGGTTATAAAAATTAATATTTTCAGATGTGACCTGATTTTGGTCTGGGTTTGTATTTTATTTTTTAAAGAACTCTTTATTATTTTTGTGTGAGTGTACCGTCAAATCAGATCTGGTACAGGAAGAGATTGTTCCTCCTTCCCCTG